CTATAATTCCAGATCAGGCTTGGGAGAGCCAAGCCGGAAGGGTGGCGGTGGGTCTGCAGTGTTTCCAAGAGCTGAGCCTCCTACCCACGACAGTCGGTTCTGGCTGTGATTTTGTTCTCCCTGGTAATGGGCTTGCGTTTGCTGGAAGCCACCTGTCACTGGGCTTCAGCTTCCCGGGTACCTGCTGAGATCCCCCCTTCAGGGCATCTTTCCTGCTCCCTCCTACAGAGCTGTGTCCCTCTGTAGGAGGACGTCAGTCCCCAACAGGAACACTCTGTGGGCTGTGTTCCCCTCCGTGAGGACACTTGCTCCTCTGCCTGGTATGGGGTCCCACTTACCTCTCCCTCAATTCCCCATGAGGCGGGCTGAGGTGGGAAGCAGCGGTCCCCACTCCCTTCTGGTTCCCCTCCCTTCCATTTCCTCCCCTCCCGCCCACTGGGACTATCAGAGAAGTGTTAGCAGCTCAGGCTCCGCTCATTACACTTCCTGCCTTAGGAGGAGGGCTCAGAACTAGGATGTCTTGACTCCGTCCTGACTCTGATTCTGCTTCAACAGTACCCTCCCCACCACCCCACGCGTCAACCCTCAGACACCATTTCAGAAACAGCCTGGGCAGCCTTGCCCTCTAGGCAGGAGGGACACCAGAGCCTGCTGTGGTACTGTCACGTGCCAGGTGACAGCATTGCTCAAGGCAGTCTGAGGCAGTGAGTCCAACCCTTGGCGGGTATCCCCGTGGAGTCCACCTTGGTTGGCCATGGTGGGACCTATTGGGTGACGTACAGCCTGAAGCCTCCTCCACCACAGCCTTCCTGTTCCTCTCGAGTGTTTCAAGGAATCGGCTGTCCTTAGGAGCCACACTAGAGACACAGCCCAGCAATGAATGAGGACTGTCGTGCTGAGTGAATGGAGGGAGAGTTGGGGATAGGGAAAAACACTGGGTAATAGTTCACAATATGATAGTATGTTTTTGAAGTCACAAATGAGTTGAGCTCTTATCCGTGGCAGGCACAGACAGCACTCTGTGTTTTCACGTAAATTATTTCATCTGTCAGTCCTGGTGGCATACACCTGTAATCCCAATATCCAGAGGGCTGAGACAGGGAGGGATGGTGAGTTCCAAGCCAGCCTGGATTACACAGCAAGACCTTAACTCAACATTAACAAAGGAAGGAAACAAGAAAGAAAATGAGTTAAGTTGGGCATGGTGGCACATGCCTGTAATCCCAGCAATCATTAAGCTAAGGCAGGGGGATTGCTATTTATTCAAAGACAGACTGAAGACCTTATCTCAAACGAAGCAGAACAAAATGAAGCAAAACTTGATGAAACGACGAGGTTACAGTAGCATAGCGTCTCAAAGGCAGCCACACCACTGGAAGCCCCCCCCCCCAGTGTGGGTGATGAGTAGGGAAAGTGCCCCACGGGAGCTCACACACAACTTGCAGGCAGCTCCACCCAAGAGTGCCCTCTCCCGGCAAAATGTTACTTACTGTGTGTATAACTTTAGAGTGAGCCCTAGTGACTTCACCAGCCTTGAATACAAGGAGCCTACTTCCTCCCTGCAGGAGAGAGGGTTCGAATTCAGAGGAAACAGCCACATAACTGCCAAACTGTGTTCCGCGGAGGCCACACGGGTTACTCCCGCCAGTGGTGTGTGAGGATTTCTCAAACTCCAAGCCCTTGCTAAGATTTGCTATTTTTAATTTATTATCCTTACTGTGCTGTGCTAGTGAATAAGGAAGTCATCCCATGCTGGTGAGAGGGAAGTCAGTCAGCCCATTCTGGTGACTGGTAAGTCATCCCATGCTAGTGAATGGGAAGTCATTCCGATGTTGTTGCTTTTTTGTTTTTTCCCTTCAAAACTTGTTTTGAGTCAAGGTCTTCCTAGATAGCTTAGACCAGCTTCAGTCTTGGCATTCCTCTCCAATGCCTTTGTTCATTTAATTTATTTGTGTATGTGAGGGCATGTAAGTGTGACATGGTACATGTGTGGATGCCAGAGGACTGTTTGTGGTAGTCAACGCTTTCCCTCCACATGTGGGTCCCAGGAATGAAATTCAGGTCATCAACCTTGGCAGCAAGGGCCCTTACCTGCGAAGCTAGCTTGTAAGTCCTGCTCATTTTAAAAAGGAGTCGTTTGGACTTTTGTCATTGAGTTATAAAATCCTGTGCATGTATGCATGTGTACATGCCCGTGATCACATGTGTGCATGCGTGTGAAGGTCAGAGGTCAACCCTGGGCATCTTCCTCAACCTCTTACCACTTTCTTCTTATTATTTTGAGGTCTTGTTTGTTTGTTCACTTATTATTGTTATTGCTACGATGTATTGCTGTGCGAGCGTGTGTACGATGGAGGTTTGTGCGCCTGCGCCACAGCACGTGCAGAGGGCAGGCAACGATAACCGTGCGGAGCCAGTTCTTCCTTTCCATCTTTACGTGGGTTCCGGGGGCTGAATTTAGGTCATCAAGCGTGTGTGGCGGGCACCTTCACCTGCTGAGTGGTGTTACTGGACCCTCATCCCCATTATTTGCAACAGAGCCTCTCACTGAATCTGGAGCTCGGCCATTTGGCTAGAAAGGCTGCGCGTGGAGCTCCAGGGATCTGCCTGTCTCCGCCTTCCGCGCGCTGGGACTGCACGCAGGCACAGCTGTCCCGGCTTTCACACAGGTCTGGGGATCCACACTCAGGCCCCCATGCTGGCATGGCAGACACTTCCCTAACCGAGTCCCCTCAGTCCAAGCCTCACCTTGTTCCTGCCTCCCTGATATGCTGGATGTTCCTCCCTGTCCCCCATTGCGCATCTTCCCACTTCCTCAACAGTGTCTCGAAACACAGATGTCCTAGCGAGTCTGCGTCTTTCCCTGCTTCCCCCTTTGGCTGCCCGTGCTTTCGGCCTCGAGTCTGGGAGCCACTGCCAAATGCAAAGTCAAGTCCGGGTGTCACTCCGGGTCCTCTCCCTCTCAGGGTCTTCCATCTTTTGATCTTTCGCGCATGTCTGCGATCTGCTTTTGAATTACTCTTTGGCCAGGGCAGGAAGCAGAGGCTAGCTTTGACTATATATCTAGCATGCAGATCTAGCTGTCAGGCCCCAAGTTGTAAGACTTAACAGGTAAAGGGGGCTTCTCTGTGAAAGTCCAGCGTCAGTTCAGTCCCTGAAGGCAGAAGGGCAGAACTGATTCCCCAAAGTTGTTCTCTGACATCTCTGCCCCCACACACATGATACACACACACACACACACACACAGACGGATTTTTCTTAAAAAAATATATGTAGTTGTAGTATCTTGTCTTTCAGCATAGTTTATCTCATAGCATACTTGTATGATTTCCTTTTTTTTCTCCACTTTTAGAAACAGGACTTTGCTACTTAGCTCAGGCTGGCCCAGAACTCATGATCCTCCCGCTTCAGCCCCCAGATGCTGGGCTCACAGGCATGTAGCACACACCTGGCACTATTAGACTTTAAGTAAGGCTTTGTTTACTGGCTGGCTTGCGAACTCCCTGGAAAATCTGGCATCAGCTTTCTCAAGCCAGTGCTCACTCAGGTTGGCCTTGCCATGCCAGCATTACAACTGCCCAGGGCGTACACGGCTTTCAGAAGACTGGTTCGGAGTTTCCCTGGGGACTCTCAGGAGGGTGGTACAGTGCTCACAGAAGCTTGGGCGGGGGTGGGTGTCACCAGCCTCCCTAGCATTTCCCTCCAGTATCTGATGCTCCCTTCATGATTTGAAGAGCAGAATGTGATCTGGTATCAGTGTATCTCCTCCTCCTGGCCTACTGGTACCTGTCTGTTGTTAAGAGAAGCTTTTTCTTTGCTAGCTGCTTTGGTTTATCACCCGCCAGTCGCCTGGGCTCTGCCTCGATGTAGTCCCCAAATAAACACACAGGAGGCTATATTAATTATGAAGCTGTTGGCCTTGCTTGTTTCTAACTGGCTAGCTCTGACTTAAGTAATTACCCCATAATTGTTAATCTAAGTATGTCTCTTACCGGAGAATAGTTCCAGGCTTCCTACCCCAATGGCGGTTACATCTCGACTCCTTGTCTTTCTCCTTCCCAGAATCCTCCTGGACTCCTAGTCCCTCCTATCTTGGTTCCCTATAGGCTCAACAGTACTTTATTGACAAATGCACAGGACTTCCCCCAACAGTCTGTGACGGGGCTTTGAGTAGAGACCTAAACATCATCTCGAGGTTCTAAGGGAGCTCCTTACAGTGTCGTGAGACCAAATGCAGTGTTTCCTATGACATTTGAACTCGATAAGATCATAATGTTTTAACATACACATGACCCATTGGGTTTGGGGAGAAGCTATACTACGAGAATTCATCATGCACTATTTGGGTAGAACTTCATGGGTTGAAAAGAATGATGTATAATTTCTCTGAAATTCAAGTTTGTCTTACAGTCCTGCATTTTAGTTTCCTGATTTAGGAAGCCCCCCACCAAGGTCAGTTCTGATTTCTATGGTCATCCTCCTGGATAACTGTGTGTGACTTCTGCGTGTGTGTATGTATGTGTGTGTGTGTGTGTGTGTGTGTGTGTGTGCTTGCATGTATGCTTGTAGGTGTGTCTGTGGTATGTGTATGTGTGTGTTTGTATGTGTGCAGGGGTGTGTGTGTGTGGTATGTGTATATGTGTATTTGTGTGTAGGGGTGTGTGTGTTATGTATATGTGTGGTATGTGTATGTGTGTGTGTGTAGGGGTGTAGGTGTGTGTGTGTGTGAGAGACACACACACACACAGAGAAAGAGAGAGAGAGAGAGATTGAGACTGGGGATTCAGCGGAGAGTCCTTTTGTATGTTTTATTCTGAGATGGGGGCTAGACCTTGTAATCCTCCTGCCTCAGTCTTTTGAGTAGCTAGGACTACAGTGTGGCAACACCACACCATTTCTTAACATAGGGACAAGGGTTGTTGAGGCTCACTGGGGGAACTATGCTCCTTCTGACAGGGAGAAGAAAGACACCCATGGTAAAGTGTGGTTCTCATTCACAGGTTGACATAAACCCTGGGGTCACACAGAGGATGAGGAATGGAGGCGTCAGAACCTACCCACCCTGCCTCATCTGCCAGGGACCAGCCAGCTCCTGCCCCTGGTGTTCCTGGGGGCCCAGGTGGTCAGGCCTCATCTCGCCTGACCCTGGGTCCCGTCATCCTGCCACCAGAGCAGGGCCTGCCCCAAACCGTTTTCCTGAAGGCCTTGCCTGTCCCTCTGTACCACACGGTACCCCCTGGGGGCCTCCAGCCACGCGCGCCCCTGGTGACAGGAAGCCTGGAAGGCGCCAGCGTACCCTTCATCCTCAGCCCCTTGCTGCCGCCTGAAGGACCCAATCCCACCCAGATGGGCAAGCCAGCCACCCCCGCCCTGACTGTGAACATCGTAGGCACACTACCTGTCCTCTCCCCGGGTGTGGGGTCCACGCTGGTCAGCACAGGCAGGGTGAAGAATGCTGGTAAGCACCTCTGCCCGCACTGTGGCCGGGACTGCTTGAAGCCCAGCGTGCTGGAGAAACACATCCGGTCCCACACGGGTGAGAGACCCTTCCCATGCGCCACCTGCGGCATCGCCTTCAAGACCCAGAGCAACCTATATAAACACAGGCGGACACAGACACATCTCAACAACTCCCGGCTGTCCTTGGAGTCTGAGGGGAGTGGGAGCAGCCTTCTGGAGGAGGGAGACCGGCCAGGAGAGACTGCCTCAGTGGCAGATAGCCGGGGAGATGCAGGAGCACCAGAGAGCTCCCTTTCCCCAGGTCCCCACCCAACCCTTGCCTCTAGGAACCGGGAAAAGATGGCAGAAGTCATTCCCTCTCTAGGGGCCACGATTTCCCACAGGGAGGCCCCTGTGGACCAGACCCAGATGGTGTCTCCTGAGTTTCCACTAGCCAGCCCGCAGCCTAGGCGGAAGCTGCCGGAACCGAAGCCATCCTCCCTGCAGAGACAGCAGGAGACGTGCTCAGAGAGGCTGTGGGACTCCAAGGCCTTGGAGGGTCAGCTGAGAAAGTGCGAGAGCACAGACTCGGGCTACCTGTCCCGCTCGGACAGCGTGGAGCAGCCTCCCGTCGCCTCCAGCCCTTTGCACAGTCTGTCGGAGCACAGTGCCGAGTCCGAGGGGGAGGGAGGTCCCGGCTGCGGATCTGCGGGCGGCGGCGACGGGGCAGAGCACGGAGCACCAGGGGCCAGCCTGGAGCTAGAGAAGAAGAAACTGGAGGAACGCATCGCCCAGCTTATCTCCCACAACCAGGCAGTGGTCGACGACCCACAGCTGGACCACGTGCGACCCCGCAAGACTGTGCTGTCCAAGCAGGGCAGCATCGACCTGCCCATGCCGTACACCTACAAGGACTCCTTCCACTTTGACATCAGGGCGCTGGAGCCCAGCCGCAGGAGGGCTGCCCTCAGCCCAGCTCACTCCACCTTCACACCCCTGGAGAAGACCAGGCCCCTCTTCTTCCACTCCGTCCCCACGCAGCTCTCCACCACCGTGGAGTGTGTCCCTGTCACCAGAAGCAACTCGCTGCCTTTCATTGAGGGCTCTAAGCTGTGGCCCGAGTCGCCACGGGACCCACAGGACGCCCTTCCCAGCATGCAGAAGGCCCTGAGTCCCAGGCTCACCCCAGCCCGGCTGGGAGACCGCCCAGGACTGACTTTAGCAAGCATCCCCAGTGGTCACCCTCGGGCCCTGGTGAGACAGGCTGCTGTGGAGGACCTGCCGTGCACTCCCACCGGAGACCCGTCATCTACTGCCGAGGTCCTAGATGGGGAGAGAGCCGTGGCAAAGGGTGGGGCGGCGTGTAAGGGCAGAGCCAGTAAGAGGTATAGCCAGAAGAGGCCAAAGATGTTCTCCCAGGAGAAATGGCAGGTGTATGGGAACGAGACCTTCAAGAGGATATACCAGAAAATGAAGACCAATCAGCCGCAGGGAGGACAGAAACACAAGGAGGTGAAGCAGAGTCGGGGGCTGGAACTGGACCTGCCTCCCCAGGAAGCAGGGACTGAGGGTGCAGGCCTGTCTCAAGACAGTAAGATCCCTGTCCTTGGGGACGCTACAGCAGGGGCTAGGCTAGGGTCATGGACAAGCCGGCCGTCCCTGCAGGAGTCATCGGAGACCACTTTTCCTAAGCAACTGAAGGCAGTGGCCAGAGCCAAGTCATCTCCTACCCTGGGCAGCACAGATGTCCTCTGTCTAAGCAGCAAGAGCCCTCTGCTCCCGCCATGTGGGAAATCGGACCTGGGATGCCGGCTGCCTCCAGAACCCGTGCCCCTCCCAGGAAAAGACTTAGGACTTCCTGAGATGGCTTTGCCAGACCCTAGTTGTGAGATTATGAAAGAAACCTGCCCTGGGGACGAAGCCCTCCTCAGACAGCCCAGTGGTAGGTCTGTGGGCCCCCAGCTCGCCGAAGACAAGTTACCCTCGGAGAGAAAGAGACTGAAGGTGGAAAGGTTGGACTGTCAGGAGCAGCCAGGGCCTCTAGAAGCTGAGACCTCAGGTGGCTCTCTGCGGGCTGATTCCCTGCCACCCCAGAAACAGGACAGTGGCTCTGAGGAAGTTCTCGGCAGCTCCAGTAAGAGCATCCAGCATGTGACCATGGCCCTGGAGTCCTCGGAGGCCTCCTCAGCTGTTTCTGCCCCGAAGTGGCCCAGGGTAGGGGACAAGGATCCCACACTGCCTTCTGTACCTAGGACTCCTCCTGGGCTCCACTCCCTGCTGCCCGTCCAGCCCCGAGATCCTTGTGTCCCTGCTGCTGTGTCAGATGGCTCCTTTGCTCCCAAGTACCTCCTCAGGCTACCTCAGGGAGAGAACGCCTCACCCCGTGTTGCTCCAGGGCCTGGGAAAGGCCCAGATGCTCCGTGTACAAGTGCACTGCCTGGAGAACAGGCCCTTCTTGCTGGATCAGAACTGGAAATGCTCCCGCCACCTGGAGCATCTTCAGGTACAGGTGACGCAGGTGGTTCCCAGGAGGACTCTAGCTGGTCTAAGCCAATGGATGGAAGAGAGGAGGCACAGAGGGGAAGAGAGAAGGGAGACAGGACCGACAGCAGCGTCCCCACAGCTGAGCACTCTTCCGACCCTGACACCGGCGGCACCACCCAGGAGACAGCCTCCATTACACCCACTCGCCCGTGTGACACTCACATGGCCCGGGATGTCGCGGGTGAGAACCGTGCCACCTGTTGCCTCTGCGTGGACAGCCCGCCAGCAAGAGCTGGAACGAATGGGAATCTCTTGAACCCTTGGACGTCGCCTCGGGAGCCGGGGGCACCTAAGAATGCCCTAGCGGGTCCAGCTTCAGTGACCAAGGAAGGGCTGCCTGCCTGCTTTCCCTCCCAGGCACATTATTTTCTCACGTCTTTCACACGGCCCCGGGGCTCATCCCCGGGCCAGCAGAAACTGGCCTTGTCACACCACTTAGGGACCCCCAGGAGCTGTGAGGCCCCAAGCTCCTTCCCCTCCCTTAAGGCCGAGCCCCAGCTGACATGGTGTTGCTTGAGTCGAAGCCTGCCCCTGCCGGCAGAGCAGCAGAGGGCAGCCCCTGGGCGCTTGGCTTCATGTTCAACTGATAGAAGCCTCCAGGGTAAGGGTAACAAAGTGCTGCTGTCCAGGACAAGCCAAGGAGGAGGAGAAGGAGGAGAAGGAGGAGGAGAAGGAGGAGGAGGAGGAGGAGAAGGAGGAGGAGGAGGAGGAGCAGCAGCAGCAGCAGCAACAACAGCAGCAGGGACTACACAGGTATCTGAGGCAATACCAGCTAAGCCTGGGGACTTGGGGAGCATGGGAGCGAGGTGGGAAGGGGAGGGGGGTACAGGAGGTAAGTGGGGGGGGGAGAGAGAACTAGGGGATCTATCTCTATGGATATTACCACTGTTATGATGTTTTCTATTTCCAAAGGAGACTAGGGCTGCCACACATGGGTGGGAAGAAGCAAAGACCTTAGATAGGAACAAAACTGAACAAATTCATGAGAATAAAATGGTAAAGAACTATTGTGCTAGGGTCTGGGTCATGGAGGAGTTGAAGTGCTTGCTCTTACAAGTCTGAGGACATAAGGACCCACATTTAAAAAGCCAAGTGTGATGTCAGGTCCTTTCTGATCCTAGCACTGGGGGGGTGGAGACAGGGAGATCACTGAGGCTGGCTTAGATTAGCCTCAGCAGTGAGTACCAGGCCAGTGAGACCCAAAACAAAACACAAGCTGAATGGTTTCCGAGAGGATGCCCAAGACTGCTCTCTGGCCTTCTCAGACATGCACACACACACACACACACACACACACACACACACACACACACACACACGCACGCACACGCACACACACACGCACGCATACACACATACACACTCAGACACAGAGGCATATATTCACCACACACATATACATACAAAGAAATATTTCGCTAGAGCGTCTAGGTAAGATGTGTGTGGTTAGACATGAAACTTTGTTTTATTCCTGGTAAAAGGCCAAAAAAACAAAAAACAAACAAAACAAAAAACTACACTGCCCTGCAGTTCTCTAGGTCATCTAAGAATCAAACTATACTTTAAAAATATTTTATTTTTAATTATGTGTATCGGGTAGGTAATGCAGAGGTCATCAGCTCCTTGGGAGCTTGAGTTGCAGGCAATTTGTGAGTCACTTAATGTTGATGCTGCAACTCAAATTTGGGTCCTTTGCAAGAGCAGCAAGTGCTCTCAACTACTGAGAGCTGTTTCTCCAGAAAGTAGAAACCCATGCTGACAGATAAACTACAGACGGAAAACCAAAGCAGAACAAAAAATGGAAAGAAATAAGTAAAATTCCTTAAATGGAGAAGCTCATTATCCCAAGTGTGCTGGAGAAATTGTTCCACTCTGATCACAGTGACCAGACTCAGGCCTGCCTCTAATGTCCTTAGGAGCAATGATAAGGACAATGTGACAAACTCTCAAGGAGGAGTTTATGGCCCCATCTTGAAAGCTTTGAAGACTTATCCTGTTAGGAGACAGCTTGGGTTGGGGAGCTGAAGGGAGCATTGAGGCCTCAGTCCTAATTGGAACAAAGACAAGGGTGGCATCTGAGACATGCAAGCAATCCCCGGGGGCTGGGGCTGGGGATCTAAGGTCTGGTTTAAATCTCCTCCCTCCAAATTGTGGGGATTCCTAAGGTGGGAGATATGAGCTATGGCACTAGGCAACTCTCCACTTACATCCAAGGTCTGGCATTTCCACTGGTGGTACAGTCTAAGCATGGTTCTGGAAGGTTCCCTGTGGCATACAACTAGTTGCCTGGTTAAAAAAAAAACTCACAGGCTCAGACACAATGTTTTGGTGCCTTAATTTCCATAGATAGGCATCCTGTCTCTAGAAAGAGAACCCAACCCATCATGGTGTCCCCCAACACAAGGGCTTTGAGTGACATGATGACAACATGCCTGTTATTTTCAGCTTCCCCACCCAACAGTCTCAGGGATGAGAGCCCAGGACCAGGTGTCCTGTCCACAGGGGAAGAAAGGACTGTGCCACAGGAGGGTGAAGATATCTCATGAGAACAGCAAGCAGAAGAAACTGAGGCTTCATTCCAAGAGGTAAGATATGTGGCCTTCTCTTCTCCTTCCATGCTGGCCCAGTACCAGGAACCCAGGTGCTGGCATTTAAATGGCAGCTCACCCCCAGAGGGGGGCTCCTAGGCCATTGATCTGGAGTTCTACAGATCTACAGATCTACAGATCTGCCTCTGTTGCCCATAGCCCACCCAGCATGATCCTACTGACCATGTAACTGTTTACTGGTGTCTTTCTAAGAAAGGGAACACAGTAAATATTTGACACAACCAGGTAGAAAATACATCCATCTAATTTTAGTCCTGAGAAAATGTGTGTTGATTATTGCTTTTAATATATTTTTTAATATTTGTAAGCAAATGTGCCTTTTGAGGAAAAAAACCTAAAAATCCAGAGATGCAAAGAGAATCTCTCAACAATCACAAGAGTTGGGGATAATCCTCTGAACATTCAGAGGGACTGTCTTCTAGACAAGATCAGGGACACCTTTCAGGAGGCCTTAAAAGCTCAACAACAGCTCTTGGGACAAGTTCATCAAGCAAGGGGCCTGTCTAAAATTTGCAGCCACATCATAGAAATCAGATTTCACACTGTATCTCCAACTCCTCTCAAGTTATCAGAAGTTCTGAGGACATGGGACTTGCCTTCTTGAGTAGCCACAGGTGGCCAGAGAAGAGTAGTAGCCACCCTGGTAGGGTGAGAACTATGCTTTGTGAGTGTCGAAGTTCCCACCTCTCTCCAGCATTGGATTTTCATCTCTGTTTCTCAGCTGTGTTATATGCCTACCACCACAAACACTTGAATTTGATGATCCTAATAGCTGACCTTGTGGAAGTCAAGATAGGATATCTCTATCAGGAAACTTCTCTATAAGTGCCGTAAAGGTGAACATGTGGAGTTGGGGCAAAGGGGAACAAGGAAGTTCTGAGCAAGGACTTTGCCTTAATTTTTAATTGCTTGAAGAATCATCATGACCAAAGCATCTTATAAAAGAAAGTACTTAATTTGGGGCCCATGGCTCTAGATAGTTAGGGTCAGTGACCATCTTGATGGGGAGCATGACAGCAAGCAGGCAGGCATGGCAAGGAGCAGTAACTCATCTATCTATCTGTCTGTCTATCTATCTATCTATCTATCTATCTATCTATCTATCTATCTATCCATGTATATATCAGCCATCTATCTCATCCATCCATCCATCCTTCCATCCACCCATCGCCAGTCAATTACCTCATCTACCCATCCATTCATTCATGTAACTATCAATCATTTTTCTATCATCTATCCTCATTCTCTCTCTCTCTCACTCTCTCCTCTCTCTCTCTCTCTCTCTCTCTCTCTCTCTCTCTCTCTGTCTCTACCACCCTACCTATTTACCTACGTATTTTTCCTGGCATTTGCCATGAGGCATTACATTCTGTGAATGAGGCTGACCCTTCTTTAATATTTGTTGTTTTTTTAATCTTTTAAATGATGAATATAATTTATAGGATCCTGTGAGAGTCTATATAGTATAGATTCTTTTTTTTTACACTTTTTATTATATATTTAAATCAGAAACAAGCTTGCTTCCCATGTTAGTCCCAGCTCCCTCTCCCTCCCCTCCACACCCACTCCTGGCCCCCAGCCCCCCCAGCCCACCACCCAATCCCCTCTCCATTCCCCAAGGAGGGTAAGGCCCTCCATGGGGGATCTCTAGAGTCTGTCATTTAGTTCTGGGGAGGGCTCAGGCCCTGCCCCAAAGTGTCCAAATTGAGAAAGCATCCCTCATTGTGGGATGGGTCCCCAAAGTCCATTTGTGTGCCAGGGATAAATATTGATCTGCTACCCAAAGTCCCCATAGATTGCCTGAGTCTCCTCACTAATACCCACATTCAAGGGGTCTGGATCAGTCCCATGCTGGCCTCTCAGCCATCAAGCTGGGGTCTAAGATATCCCCCTTGTTCAGGTCGGCTTTTTCTCTGGGATTCACCAGTCCAGTCTTGGCCCCTTTGCTCATCACTCCTCCCTCCCTGTCACTGGCTTCCAGGAGTTCAGTTCAGTGTTTAGCTGTGGGTGTCTGCCTCTGCTTCTGTCTGTCATTGGATGGATAGTATAGATTCTTTACCTGTTAAAAGTTGTGTATGCATTCTGTCTAGCATTTAGTTTTTATATTTTCGGTTATGAGCCTAGCCTTTAATGGCTGAGCTATCTCTCCAGCCTTAGCATTTAGTTTTTAAAACCCATTTATTTATCTTGTCCTATGGAGTTGACCCATACTACTTTTTTCATCCCTTGATTCATTTTGGACCATCCTTCTGTTGTTTTTTTCTTCTGCCCAAAACGCCCTTTTCGGAATTATAGCAGAGATGAAGCCTGCCCTGGTTGTCATCAGCTGCATTTCATTCAGGTGGTGGGGAACATTTCTTCTGGCCACTGGGTTCTAGGTAAACACTCTTTCTCAAGGCATCGGTCCACCATCTTTAGCTTCTATTTTTGGTTGAGAAGTGCATTGCTAGCTGAGCCTTGTTCATGAAATAGCTTTGTCTCCTGCCACCGCTAAAACACTCCTCTTTTAGTATTTGTGTTCCTCCATTTTACTGTGATGCTTGAAGTTAGACACTGCTTTCTGTGGATCCCATCAGGAACCCTCTGGGCTTTGAGGATCTTCCTAGAACATTCTCAGCCATCGTTTCTCAAGCTTGGATTCCATCCTGCCTTCTCCTTTTTTTCTGACAACATGAAAGTAAACTATATTAGACTTTTTCTTCCGCTTTTGTGTGTGTGTGTGTGTGTGTGTGTGTGTGTACGTACACACGTGCACCTTGCCCAGGAATCTGCTTGTGTCTACTTCTCCAGAGCTGGGTTTACAAGTCCTGCTACCATGCCTGTTTGTTTGTTTGTTTTGGTGGGTGGGTTCTGGAAACACAGCTCAGGTATCTGCATGGCTCCAGTCCTCAAGCTTGTGCAGCAAGCACTTTGCCAACTGAGCCATCGCTCCGGGTTTTGTTTGCTTGTTTGTTTTGTTGTTGTTTTGTTGGAAACAGGATCTCAGGGTGTAGCCCAGGCTGAACTGCCCTGGTGCCTCAGACTCCTGATTGTGGGCTTACAGTGAGTACCACATTGTGTCTTCTACCTTGAATAACTTTTGTCTGTTTGTGTGCCACAGGTGGGTGGTATGTTCAGTGGTATCATTAAAAATTTGCTAATTTTCCTAATTCTTTAAATAACTACTTTGTTAACTCTTTATTGAAATGTAGCTGAGTCTGAACAAATTGCACATCTTTGGGACATATAATTTAAGTAATCTTGACATCTATACTTATGACACCAATAGTAGAACTAAGATCATAGAGAGATAATCACCCCCAAAGTTTCCACCATCTCTTTGTAATTCCTCTCTTCCGTCCACTCTGCCCCTCCAATTCCCAGTGAACCTCGAATGCACTTTCTGCCATTGAATACTTGTTTGCCTGTTCTAGACAGTAGGGAAGCAAACTCACGCCCTCCGTGTGCCCGTTGCTCTTCTCCGAAGTTTGGTTTTCTCAGTCACTTGACTGTTCTGGGGGTTATGCATTCACTTGCTATAATAAAAACATGGCAAAAATCAGCTTAGGGGAGGAAGAGTTTACTTCAGCTCACCGTTCCAGATTACGGCATCTCACAGCAGGGTTGTGGCAACTTGAAGCATCTGTCCCAAGGCACCCACGGTCAAGAGCAGGGAGAAATGCATTCATGCTTGCATGCTCACACACGCATGTTTGCTCGACTGCTTGCTTGCGCCTAGCTTGATTTCTCTACTCTTGTATAGTTCAGGATCTCCTGACTAGGAACAGATGCTGCCCATGGCGGGCTGGGCTTTCCCACATCAGCTAACATAATCAAAACAAGCCCTCAAGGACACATCAGGCCAACCTGAGCTAGGAAACCCCTCGTGGGGAGCCACTTCCCAGTTTATTTTAGGTTGTGTTCAGTTACCAGCTAAAACTAACCACCACATCTATGCTGTGTGCATCAGGGAGCTATTTCTTCTTGGTTTCTGAGTAGTGTACCGCAGGGTGACTATGTCATCCTCCTCTTACACGCTCCCCGGGGACAGATGTGTGGTTTGTTTCAATTGAGGCTGTCATGAAGAAGGTGACTGTAAATGGTCAAGGCTTCGTACGTACACGTGCTTTCAAGTCTCTGGAATAAAGCCTCCAAGAGATGAGTGGCTAGACTAGGGATTTTTAAGAAGTCGGGCAACTGACTTCCGAAGCTGCCCAGTAGCACTTGTATGAAAGCGACCAGTTTCTGCGGTCTTGCCCTCATCTGCCAGGCTCTGTTTTTTTGTCAGTTGTCACCTATCTTTTTAGTAGGTGTGTCATAACAGTGTGCTATGGTTGGACTTGGACTTGGCCCTGGTACCCATTCCCTCATGTGTTCCTTTCCCATCTGACAGCTCTGCGAACTCTCCATCCGTGTCTATTGCCCCTTGGAAACACATTGCTCACACTCTCAGGCTGAGTTTTGAGAATTCTCTATACATTCTGATCACGCACATCCTTCACCAAGTGGGTACTTTCCAAGAACTTTCTTCCAGTGTATGGCTTGTCTTTGTTTACTTTTAGTTCTTTAGAAATGATTTTTTTGAAATTATATCATTTTACCCTTTCCTTTCTTCCCTCTGAACAATTCCTATCTAGCCTTTCTTGCTCTTTTTCAAATTTAGTGCCTCTTTTTAAATTGTTGTTATATGCATACATACATTCATGCATACATACTACACATACCCCTAAATGCATAATACTATACACCCACATGTACACACACCTAAATACATACATATATATTACACACACGCACACACACACACAAACACACATAAATACAACCAGCTCAGTCTGCACAATGCTACTTGCATGAACCTTTTCAGGGTTCACCGTTTGCTACGGGAAATCCAAATGCTGTGCTCTCCTCCGGAGAAGGCTGCATCTCCATCTCTCAGCGTCCCTTAGTTGCCTGTGTTCTTTGGGTAGGGCTGAGGCCTCCTGGCTCTCCCCACC